GGAGAATTACTTGAACCTGGGAGGCAGAGGTTGCAGTGAACAGAGATCGCACCACTGCACTCCAGCCAGGGTGACAGAGTGAGACTTTTTCTCAAAAAAAGAGAAAAAAGAAAGAAAGAAAGAAAGGGTTATAAAAATATTTCACTGTCTAAAATTGCTAAATGACCTATCTAACATATACAAGATGAGTTGCAATTGTTCGGTAAAAATAAAGATAAGATAAAAATAACAACATCACACACGTAGAGCAAGCAGACTGAGAGAGAACAAAGACAGACATGTGGCAAGAATATTTACCAAGAAGTTATAAGGGTAAGACATATGTTTGTCTAACTGCTTTTTGTCAGTCAATGTAGATGGAAGTATGATCACAAAGTTCATTTAAAGATAAAAGAATCTGTTGTTCAAGAGAATCTCAATAATTTCTAGCAAGTCAAATCTGAAAGAAAAATTTCACAAAGGTAAACAGAGTAAACACGGCAATGCCATCAATATCATATCAAAAATATTGTGACATAAATACAGTAAGTAATGGAGAATTGAGAAAAGTCTTACTTAGCATAGGGTGGGAACACCCTGCCAAAACCAATTTAATAAAATCAATTGTCTGATGTAATTAACATGGTGTGTTCCTTGTAAACTGCTCTCAGATCAACTGGTTTAATCCAGAAGGAGATTTTATATCACTCTTATCCTGAATATATAAGATTTGATATCCTTCAGAAAATACGTAATCACCAATACTTCCTCAGTTGAGTTTTTGTTTATATTGGGTAACCATGAATTAAATATTATACTCTCTGAAAAGTACCTAGAGTAGAGCTATACTGTGTATGGCTGTTTGCTTTAATAAAGAATCAAATTGATAGCATGCAGTAGGGGGACTATAGCAGATAATAAAGTAGTATATATTTCAAAATAGCTAGAGGATTTTACCTGTCACCACAAAGAAATGATCAATGTTTAAAGTGATGGATATGGTAATTACCTTGATTTGATCATTATACAATGTATACAATGTATACATGTATGGAAACATCACACTGTACCCTATAAATATGTACACGTATTATATGTCAATTATAAACAAAACAAAAAGTTAAAATTCATAGTGTTTTTTTTTTTTTTTTAAAGACAGAGTCTTGCTCTGTCACCCAGGCTAGTCTGCAATGGGGCTATCTCGGCTCACTGCAACCTCTGCTTCCCGGGTTCAAGCGCTTCTCCTGCCTCAGCCTCCGGAGTAGCTGGGATTGTGAGCGCCCGCCATTATGCCCAGCTAATTTTTTGTATTTTTGTAGAAATGGGGTTTCACCATGTTGGCCAGGCTGGTCTTGAACCCTAGACCTCAAGTGATCCGTCCACCTCAGCCTTCCAAAGGGCTGGGATTACAGGCATGAGCCACCGTGCCCGGCAAAATTGATAATATGTTTGACATCCCAAGAAAATGTGAAGAACTTAATAAGGTTATAAGAAGAACTGAAATATTATTTCTGTTTGTACTTTTTTTCTGGAGCTGGGGAGAGAAGGAGGCTGGAGGGAGATAGAACACATTGTTAATGGATTTCTAATGTTTCCTATATTGTACAAAATTTATGCAAGTGGTTGCGGTAGAACAGTCAGGAAATGGAAAGGCATTATTGAATGCCTTCTAATTATTATTTTAAAATATTGATTAGGTATCTGTTTATAGGATGTCAGGTAGGGAAAATTAACAGAAAATTTTTTACTTCTGAACACCCAAATATATGGGTGCTTGGCTGAGGTCATTTTGAATAAAAGTTCTGTTCCTAAGTCAGACGTTGCTGATGGTAGAAACATCCTATGGCAGAAGACTTAATAGAAATAACTGCATCCAATAAAAATTTACCTTTGGCCGGGTGCAGTGGCTCATGCCTGTAATCCCAGCATTTTGGGAGGCCAAGGAGGGCGAATCACCTGAGGTCGGGAGTTTGAGACCAGCCTGACCAACATAGAGAAACCCCGTCTCTACTAAAAATACAAAATTAGCCGGGCGTGGTGGCACATGCTTGTAATCCCAGATACTAGGGAGGCTGAGGCAGGAGAATCGCTTGAACCTGGGAGGCAGAGGTTGTGGTGAGCCGAGATCGTGCCATTGCACTCCAGCCTGGGCAGCAAGAGTGAAACTCCATCTGAAAAAAAAAAAAAAAAAAATATTTTTAGTAATTACTGCTGATCGCAACAGAACCTAACAAAACATAAAATAGGATAATCTTAAACCAAAGAAATACAATAGTATCGCTGTATCTTGACCGTGATTGATAGTTAACATGACAGAGCTTTTAGCCTCACTGGTTACCAACTGGATGATTCTGTTTCCTTTCGTTGGACGAAAAGGGGAAAGAAAGGGTCAACTTGGGAAATAATGAGACTTTGAGGTACTGGTAAGAGTAGTTATCAAAACAAACTTACTAAGGGCACCAAGCTCATAAACCAAATTAACCAATTGTGGTTCTTGCCTTATTTAGGTGAGAAAGTACCTGAATATCAGAAAGTTTCTTGAAGAGCGTGAAATATTACTATATTAAACTAAAAACAATTTGTTATCATCATTGCGGAATCAAACACTATCTTATAGTCTATATATTCTAGATTCCACTACGAAGAAGTAGCAGATCAAATGAAATACTTTTTTAATATAAGAAAATATTTTCTATTGAAAGAATTATTTTTGTATGTTTTCTGGTACATTGGAAAAAGCTTGTCACCACCAGAGGATGTCTTGAAGAGGAAATGAAAACTGAGCAATTACCTAGAACTACAAGAAAGATTACCAGAAAATTATCTCTGTGGACTAACTAGAATGATTAAATTAGTTAGAAAGAAGACAACTCAGTGATTTTTTTAAAAAATGTACCCATTGGTGTTACACTGGTATTGAAACACTTATTTTCTATTATACTAGTTACATGCCTCTTATCTTAGTCAATTAATGTATTGAAAGATTTATATGAAGTTCTATGTTTGAGAGTAATAACTTACTTATACCATAGTTTTCTTTAGTAGCTTTAGCAGATTATGCGAGAGACAAGTCAGTTATAATTGTAAATTTCTAGCTGGGAAAATAGACCTAGGAGACATGGCTGTTGAGAAAGGAGATGCTGGCAGATCACTGGGTTGTTTGTTTCTAAATCCAGTGGATTTTTCTATGTTTTGCTGTCATTTATATGATAATTCATTCATATACAGAGATTGAGTGAAAGGTCTCCTCCTAAAAGTATTTCTGAATAAAAAAGAAGTTTAAACCACAGAATAGGTAGAAAAACAATGTATTCAATGTAAATAGCATTAACTTCTGTGATAGTGCATTCTAATTATTCATGGTAGCTCCTGAATTACAGATTTTCCAGCCCCTGTTGGTCATAGCAGTTAAATTCGCCTGTATCCCAGGAAGCAGATATCTTACAAACGAGTATAGCAACATGCTCCATATGCATTCAATTCAAGACACACTAATAATTTCAAAGGGAAAAAAACACAGCCTATACAATGTAGATATTGACACATGAAGATATGCATCTCCAATATGTTTTAAAATGTGATTTGGAATCAGTTAAATATTGTTCCTTTACATTGCAATCATTTCTGATTTATTTTCCTATTTCCAGGGTATCCATCTTTTCAGTAAGAAGGGACAGATAGTTCCCAATATTGGAAGAGTTTTGTTTCATACCTAGGGCATTTGAGAAATAGATGCTGAGGTTAACACTCCTGGAGATAGCAATTGAAGCTAGAAGGTGGAATGAAGTAGGTAGGGTATGATGAGAGTAGGAGATGATAGACACAGGCCTTGTACAGGGATTGTATGGGAGTAGCATTTTTGAAGGCTTTAAACCTAGTGAGAGCAAATCATATCAGCTATGACAGTCAAAAGTATTCAGTTGATTATGACAAGAGTAAAACTGTCAAAGTGATGACAAAAAAAAGGGGAAACATTTTTTAAATTAAAAATCTAGCTGAGTTTGAAGTAGAGAGCAAATATTTTTCATCTGTCTACACTGTCAGCTTTCTGTGCATGTAAAACATGTTTATTATTTTCTAAATTAATTTAATGAGTTTCAGATTGTACAGGATGTCAAAATGGAAACAGGATTATGCAAGATAATAAGCAGTTTTGTTCTCTAAATGAGTTGTACCTAGACTCCCTGTGTTGTACTTTTGATCTGAACTGTGTTTCATTTACCACATTTGAGGAGGTTACATAAAGGGTAAAATAATAGAAACTTAATCAGGAAACAGGTTTTCTTTTAGCTGTACTTTATTATGTACTTTTGCCTTATTCCATAGCCTAATTCCTGAAAATAATAAAAGATGTGTCATTTTAAAATAAGAACAATTGAAACCACATTGCATTGTAATTATGCATCTGTTTTTCAAAGCCATCCCTAAATTTTCACACCAATTGATCTTCAGAACAAACTTGTAGATTATTTAGGAATTATTAGTGGGTAGTATAAACTTCCTGCACTCTACTTTCTGTAAAATGCTAGATAAATATTAGTTGGCAAATTTAATTTTAGATAAAAAATAAACAGAGGCAAAATAATTTCTCTGAAATACATCCTTGTTTCCAAAAACTTAATCCAATAACTTTTTGTGTTACAGAATAATATAATACAAACTGGCCCCATTAGTCCAAGCACGGAGTTTTGCAGTGAAAATAATTTCCTGTAGAGTATTTATCATGACATATAAAGACGTATAGTTATGCTACACACATGACTGATTTTGTAAATGTAATGCCATTTTCTGGTAGATAAATCTCGTCTGTTTTATGTAACCCATACCAAAATGATTAGTCGATTTAGGTAGGCATTTGGGCTCTGAAACCTTACATCATTGACATTTCTGTCATCCTCAATCAATATGAAACAACTTGAAACTTGGCAATAACTTGTCTCCTGAATTTCCAAATAAAAACTTTGGAAAGTTGACATTACTTCTCTAATATTTTCTCATTTCATTTTCTCATCACTGACCAGATAATCACCATGGTCACAGCCCTGAAGAGCGAATCATCTATGGTGTAGAGAATAGTAGCACATTTTTGGAATGCAGTCCGAAGTCACAGCAAGCACTGGTATACTGGCAATTCCAGAGGCGAAATGAAGAGCGAAAGGAAGAGGTACAGGAATGAAACTGACTGGATTATTTATATCTAAGATATACTGTTAAGTAACCCTTGTATTTTTTACTTGAGGAAAGAAAAAGCACTGAGAATGCTTATCCTCTTCTGAACCAATCAATCGCTCATTCATTAAACAAGTATTTGGTGCAGACTGATGATGTGACAGACTCTGTACTATGAATTAGACAAAGAAAGGTAACCTGGTAAGAGTTTCCATCCCAGAAGCAGTTTAGGGATACATATTAGACTCCCCTTATTTCTTACTGTGTTTATCTACAAAGAAATTGTGTTATCTAAATTTGTGCACAAATTTAAAAAAAAACCCTCCTACTAATTTTAAATTGTGTTAAATTAATTATGTTATCAAAATCTGTTTTTCTTTATCCATTACCTTCCTCCTTAAATGGGGAAGGAAGGTTGGGAAAAGATAGTAGTAGATGTAGGATGAAGGATTTAAGGCTGCACTATAAGCTCTGACATCAACTATTGATGCAGGATGAGGCAGATTTCCCTGCTCATTTGATCCATTTATAATTCCCTAAGAGTAAAGAATTGTATACAGAAAATCTTAGTGAGCACTATGAGCCTTTAAAATTTTTTAACAGCCTTATATAAGTGTAAACAGACTATTAAGTTGATTAATAAAATGTATTATATTCAGACAATTTTACAAACATAATATGATGTTAAAGGTAAAAACTCCTCCATTATCTTTTGACATTTTAATCAGTCTTAAAACTATATAATCCCATCATAAAATGCAAGATTGACTTTATGCATTACCAGGTGAGGCTTTTTGAGACCTCTGTTGTAAACTGTATTCAAAATAAAAGCGAGGTTACAAATATTCAAAAATATGGTCTCATATATATTCCCATTCAAGACCAACTAAATGAAATAAATAATTAGTAAGCATGAAATTTTCTGCTTGTTCAACTTCTATTTTTTTAAATTTCAGTTTTGGAAATCTTATTATAAATTCATTCTAATGCCCCATATCTTTCTAGTATCATGGTTCTGTAGTTCTAATTTCAATATTTAATGTTAACTTTATCCTATATTTATATACCTACTTTCAAATTTATAAAGAATCTTTGCTCTTTCCTCCAGTTACCTTGACTATTTTAATCATTATAATAAGAAATTCTGGCCGGGCGTAGTGGCTCAAGCCTGTAATCCCAGCACTTTGGGAGGCCGAGACGGGCGGATCACGAGGTCAGGAGATTGAGACTATCCTGGCTAACACGGTGAAACCCCGTCTCTACTAAAAATACAAAAAAACTAGCCGGGCGTGGTGGCGGGCGCCTGTAGTCCCAGCTACTCGGAGGCTGAGGCGGGAGAATGGCGTGAACCCGGGAGGCGGAGCTTGCAGTGAGCCGAGATCGCGCCACTGCACTCCAGCCTGGGAGACACAGCGAGACTCCGTCTCAAAAAAAAAAAAAAGAAAGAAAGAAAGAAATTCTATGGAGACAGTAATATAACCAATACTCCCCAATACATCTTAAAAACAATTGACAGATATTATAATTCTCCTAATGGAAAAATGCTATCAATTTTCTTAAATTAAAAATTTTATTAACTGTTAAACTGTGCCTCGATACATAATCTAAAGTTTTACAGACACAGAGTTTCAGAGCTTATATTTCTTTTAAATATGTATATTTTACACTGCCTTTTTTTAACCTGCTAGATCAGAGTGGATGATCATATCATCAGGACAGATCAAGGCCTTCTGCTGCGTAGTCTACAACGGAAGGATTCAGGCAATTACCTCTGCCATGCGGTGGAACATGGGTTCATACAAACTCTTCTTAAGGTGACCCTGGAAGTCATTGACACAGAGCATCTGGAAGAACTTCTTCACAAAGATGATGATGGAGATGGCTCTAAGACCAAAGAAATGTCCAATAGCATGACACCTAGCCAGAAGGTCTGGTACAGAGACTTCATGCAGCTCATCAACCACCCCAATCTCAACACGATGGATGAGTTCTGTGAACAAGTTTGGAAAAGGGACCGAAAACAACGTCGGCAAAGGCCAGGACATACTCAAGGCAACAGTAACAAATGGAAGCACTTACAGGAAAACAAGAAAGGTAGAAACAGGAGGACCCACGAATTTGAGAGGGCACCCAGGAGTGTCTGAGCTGCATTACCTCTAGAAACCTCAAACAAGTGAAACTTGCCTAGACAATAACTGGAAAAAAAAAAATGCAATATACATGAACTTTTTTCATGGCATTATGTGGATGTTTACAATGGTGGGAAATTCAACTGAGTTCCACCAATTATAAATTAAATCCATGAGTAACTTTCCTAATAGGCTTTTTTTCCTAATACCAACACCTAACAGAGAACACACGTGAATGCAGTTGTTCACTTTAGCAGACTTAATGTTTCCTATGAGATTTCACTGTACAGGTTTGTCTTTCTTCTTTGCCTGAGAAATAAAAATGTCATTTGCCATATTGCCATCTAAAGGAGAAAAACTGCATCAGCAAAGCCATTGTATTGAACTAAAAGTTTAAAATGAACTGCATGGATTTACTAAGCTGATGAATATTCCAAAACGTGGTTGGATTCAAGGATATATTTTGTCTACCGGCCCTCATGTTTGTATGTACTTGAGGAGTAAAATGAGTAAAATGATACTGAATGAAACGTTCGTGGAAATATTAAAAAGAAAAGAAAACATAAGCCATCCATCATCCAGAAGAAAAATGGAGTACACTGATCTACTACTGATGTCTTCTTTCAGCTTTGATCTAAAGATGTATTTTATTAAAACTATAATTTAAATGTACCATGACAAATATGCAGTAAAAATTAGTTGTTTTCTAAGCTAGAGTAGGATTTGTCTTACAATTATTGTGCTATATAGTTTTTGTTTTAAAAATTCCAATGGTGTGCTGCTTTCTTTGGACATTTTATTTTCAATTCTGTAACAGGGATAGATGATATTGTTCTAGAAACATATATACATCATTAAGAGTGAACCTCTAAAACCAGGATAGAAATTATGCTTTATTTCTCTGAGAAAATCAAACAAATGGAAGCTGTTCACACCTCCCCTTCTTTAAGCATTATCTAAATTAATTTTTACTTTCATAATGTTCTTAGAAAAAAAAAAACAGAACATTTAACCAGGAAAAAAGGAAGAAATAAATTGATTTTTAAGTGCATTTTACTATAATGAATCAATGAAGGGAAAAGGAACTGCATATTTCATGAAAATAATAAGCATTGTCTTAATATACTGTTAATAGAAAATGTGTCTTAATTCTGTGCTTGAATTCCTGCATGATATTTGAGACAAAGATCTCTCTTATGATTCCACTAAGAATTTTATCTGTGTCACTTAATTTTTTTGAAAGAGAGAGATCGATAACTATTCAGAGCAACATGTTAAAGGCAAAGTTTCCAACCATTTACATCTGTATCAGGTGCCTCTTATCTTTCCTTATTTAAGACAATTATTTGTACAAGAAACACATGACTCTTTTCATGTCAATGGGAGGGACTTTTCTACAAAGTATTTTCCAGGATGCAACCCACATTTAAACAATGTGAAACTCTTTGTTTCCTGCAACAACTTACAAAATAAGGTAAAAGACTAAAATTCAAGATTTGCTTCCTTCATTGTACTAAGACGATTCATTGAGAATCACTGACTTTGAGATATTTAAAACTTTCAGCATTATACTGTGGTTTCTTTTGCACTGCACTCACCTATTCAGGACTCCTCCCCCAAGTTCCTCATCATGCACAAAAATGCAAAGAAAACATCTTATTAGTAATTAATGAAGCAACATTGAAATTCTAATTCTAGCTGTCTTTGGATTCTAATTAACTCAGCATCAATTTCTCACCTCAGACTACAGTGAATTTTTATTTTCTATCAGCTGAAATATTTCACAGATGGAAGCTCATGTTTCAGTTTTAATGATTGCCTTGAATAAACAAGTTGTTGCCACTTGTTTCAAACAGAAGCCTAAAAATAATCTACATTCAATTTTAGGCTCCATTGACTAATATTGTGTTGCTTTTGGAAGTACTGTATATCCTCAAATGGAAGCCGAATCATTAAATTATTTGAAGGACCCACCACTGTACAGAAAATAGTGTTTGAAATATAAATCGAAGAACAAAGAGTGCTCCAAAAAATAGGTCATTCTTTTATTTTCATAAAGTACCTTAACTGTACTAACATTCAGTGTTGTGTTTCATTCTAAATTTTGCAGCTGAAATAAATTTATTTGCAATAGCAGAAATATCTTATTATTCATCCTCAAAAATAAAGGATTTGAAGGGATAGAGATTATATGATAACTTTATAGAAGCCTTTCAAAATCTGAATGCATTTTGTTTAGCATTATGAAATGACAATAGAAAAAAGTCTCGACTTCAATTAAAAGTTACACAAATAAACATCTACAGGCATGTCTTTACATACCATCAGGTCTAAGTTTTCCAAGAAAATTGTAGATATAACTTGCAGATAAGTAACTCATTACAGTCATAATCTCTGCCCATGTGTATTGAGAGGGGGCAGTTTGCACGAAAAAGAATTATTGGCCCATTGAATAATTCAGCTTTAATAGACTTTGTCATATGCATGAATCATCAGAGATGAAACTGTTTGAGAGACTCATGTGACCTTACGAAAATTACAACAGCAGTCTTAAAGTATGAAAAAGATGCATCACAGCAGAGACATTATGGCCCAGTTGATATCAAATGTAAAATGTAAATGCATGTAAATGCACACTTCATTTTATGTATTATTTAGTAATTTTCAATGGTATGTGTTTAATAGTTTTGCTACCTACACATCAGGCAAAAAAGATGTAAATAATTTGGGAGAAAAAGAGAAAGAACAGTGTAAAATAAAACTTTCTATAGGTACTCCATTTCAGTGTGTTCAACATCCTAAAATGCAAGATTTTCCCACGCAGGTGACAAGGTGGTTTATGTACTATATAAGGGCAGAAGGTGCGTGCCCATTCAATAAGCATGTTTTTTGCCAGGTAGGAAATATGTTCCATATCTGTATTTATCATTGCATTTCAGATGGGAACTAGAAAAACTGGAGAGAAAAATGTAATGAAACTGCTGCTGTAAATTATTCCTTTTAGCATGTATTCACTTGCTAAATACACATTTCTTCAAAATATTTGAATTCAGATGTCTTTACTGTTCCCTATAACATATGGTGTTAAGGAACATAAGCTCATAAAATGTTGAGAACCAGAGTCAGGTTGCTACATAATTAGCTAACAGATTTCTTCATTGTAATCATCTGTAAACTGGATTCTATATTTATGGTGAGGATGTGAATTTTTACGCCCTTTAAATTAAATATTGTTCTTTTTAATGTCATACCTAAAAAGGAAATGTAGGGATAAATTTTTATAATGTGTCATTTTCATAATCAGTTTGGTTTTATTCAGGATCTACAAAGATGTCAGATGATTGTTATTGAAATAGCTAATCTTAAAGGTCACAGACAAGCGTTTTATTAATATGCAGCCATTAGTATAATATGTTAAAATCTTTGTTTTATTAGTTCATTTTAAAACACAATTTCCATTCAATTTAATGAAACTCTATCAGGTTTCATGATTTCAAAGACAGACTTAAATAGGATTCAACATTCCCGTATTATGTAATAACATGTTAGAATTTAACTAGTCTAACACCAAAGACATCTATTACTTTTAACTTGATTTGTAATAATTATTTGAAGTCAATGTTAATGGTTACAAATACACGTTTCCATAAAAAAGAAAACAGTATTTTTCAAAAATCTGTAAAATTTTATTAGTTTGTTGGATCGCTAAAAATTTTCTTAAACTAGTTAATTAAGTGAACATAATTTTTCAAGTTAATAAATTAAGAAAATATCTAAATGAAAGAGAGAATGAAATCAATATATGTGGCAGCCCATATAGTAAGGACAGTTTCACAATCAACATAACCAAGGAAAACAGCTTTGTTATCATTTCAAACATGCAGGCACACACAGGCAGAGGCAAAGCTGGAACCAAACCAAACAAAAAGATGATTTTGAATATTAAAAAACTGGGCCTCTAGACACTTTGCCTTTTAGAACCAGCTTCCTACATGACCGAGTAAATTCCACTGATAGATCTTGAGTATCTACAATGTCCTAGGCATTATGTTAGGTGATGAGGACACTAAAGTGAATAAGACATAACCCTTGTTCTCAAAGAGCTCACACTGAAATTAAGGAAACAGAGAGAGATGACTTATCATCATCTAATCCAGCAAGTCTTTCCTGATCCTCCCGTCCCTAGTTCAGGCTAACCACCTTCTCTGTGCTAAACCTGTGCCTTGTATATAGCTTTTATTTTCACACTACCCCAGTGTGTGGTTTATTTGTTTATGTTTCCATCTCCATTTCTAGACTGTGAGCTCCTTGAGGGCAGGATTTGTATCTAATTGATCTCTGTCCCCAGTGTCTAGCATGATGCCTGGCACAAAGAGGGAGCCCAATAAATCACTGTTGGAAAGAACCAAGTTACCATATGACAACTGCCAAATACAAGCTCACAATAAGTAGTATGGATCAAAGGAAAAAAAAAAAAAAGGAGGAATTAACTTGTGGCGAGAGATCATGGATGCTTCATAGAACAAGTGACTTTCCAGCTGTGAATCAGTCAGATATGCCTAGATGAAGAAACAAAATGGCAATCTGAGTAGAAAAAATAAGGAGAAAGGAGGAGAGGTGCAAAAAAAAAGTCCTTTTTCTGAGAACAAGTATTCAAACAGATAAAACACAGGTTTCATGAAGAAAAGTTAAATGTCCCACTACTATGAGTCAAAATGGTGCATTTGCTTTTTCCTGGGTTTTAATTTATCGCCCTCTGTTTGTACCCCACATTCTCATCCTTGGCATAGACTGTCATATGTCATGCATTCAGCCTCCCACACTTCCACCCCACAATCTCTTTACCTTCCTTCTTAATGTTCACCTCATTTATCTTTACTCAGTTAAAGTCATAGCACTAGGCAGTGTTCCCACAACCATCTTCAAACTAATCCTTATTTCATAATCTCTTCTCTAGTTCAAACCACCACGCATCAGCTGAAACTCTGAATTCTATAAATAAATATTTACAGGAAGCTAACTTCATCAGAGACTTCTCTGTGCTCTCACTCAGTTCAAACGAAAGTTTGTGTTATATTTCACCTACCTACAGCCTTACCTCACTTAGCTAGCATTAGACCACTCAGCAATGAGTTCCAACATTGCCTTGCTAAAAAGCAAGGGGGCTCACAAACAAGACTTCAGCAAAGATAGCATTAAAATATGAAGTTTGCATTTGTTCAAGGCATACCTTAGTTGGAGTAATCCATGGCCAAGATAGGCAGACTTCTATTATTTTAAACAAACAAACCAAAAAAGTTTTTTTTAAAAAATGAGACCCACCTTCATCTTGAATATGTCAATCCCACACCACCATTGTATTAAATGTCATGTTTTTCTCATATAACAAAAGAATGGATTTTATTTCTTTTAATCTAAACACTATACTTGTATATACAATGTTTATTTATATAGGACCTAAGTAAAAGTTTTTATAGATGTGTTCATGTCATCACAATTCAGGTAATTTGAAGTCTCAACTTCCGTCTTCTCTCTTTGTAAATCTCACTGAAGCATTAGACCTCAAGTAAATACATTTGTAAAAAATCCATGTCATTTGTGTAGCTCAGTTCTTAATGTTTTGTTTGTCTTGTTGATAACTAATTCCAGAGAAGCTTAAACATTTTCAGACAAAGTTTTCATCTAAAATCAAACAGCCACTTTAGGAATTTTTTAAATACACCACAATTTTTAGGGATTTTCATCCCTCAAAAAAGATTGACAGTTTTATTAGCCCTCAAATGTTTGTATTTTATTCATGCAGTGTTTTAAATTGCTGATAAATGTGAAAAACTTAGTTTAAGTCTGGGTCTGTATATACCATTCAATGTATTCAATTTAAATTTAGATTCTGATGAATAATGGTCTAAGTATCCAATTTGCATTGTTGCCATCTATCAATTTCAGAATCATTGCTCATTTTCTTCTTTGCAGAACTTTTGACCCTAATAGCATGCCTGTTGAAATTATTTTTATTGTATTTGGCTTCAGAAGTGGTTTAAATTATTACCCAATGAATATTAGACAGCATCACAAAAATAATCTGTTATCCATATGGAAAAGAATACTGTCAAGGAGTTTATTGAATTCTTAAACTATTTACTCAAAACATAAGAGAATACTTATCCCAGGATTATTCTATTTTGATCAAAACAATTGTGTAGTCATTAACTTTAGAAACATTACATTGTTTAGGTTTCTTCTTTAACTTTCTGACCTCTCTAAAATCCAAAACCAAAACAAACAAAAAATCAACAAGTAATCTAGTTGGCAAAGTCACTTATCATTTAAAAAGTAGCAGGTCCTCTTCCCCTCAGTGAAGATTTGAATGTAATTTGCAACTGTGACCATACTGGTTTTCTTCTTCTAAGATCCTCTTGGTCCTTAGACGTTGTTTCTAAAAACTACATCATATCAGGAAGCTCTATATTCATTATTGAGAAGCAATAGTCTTGAACTTCTAGAAGGAAATACTTATATAATTTATAAAATTTATATCAATAAGCCCAAAGCAGAAACTCTTTATAATACATTGTACTGTATTAATTTAAATGTAATAATATAATATTAAACAAAATCAACATAAGCTCAAATATAGAAGCATTAATACATCCTAAAGTGCTACAGTTACTGCCTGGTGATAGTAACATTACATTTTTTATATTCATTGTGTTTTTAGATATTATATTCACTACCTATTTTTATATTAATTGTGTTTTTAGATATTATAATCTAAATATTTTTATGATATCATGTAGGCCTTTTCATATGAAGTAAGACACATAGCCTAAGGATCTCGCACAACATACTGTACTTGGGTTTTCTATGGTGAGTGAGAATTAGCCTCTGACTTTGAGAAACTCACAGTCTATTGAAGAGAGGGAAACACAACATTTAACATGATGTGTCATACAAGGGATATAATAATAGTTGTAGCAGTCACATTAGTAATGACAGCAGTAATATCAAGTGTTTACAACATACTGTTTTCCTTATCAAGTGCTTTATTTGTATTACTTTAATTATTATAACAACTCAAAAAATCCTATTTTATCCTTATTTTTCAATAAAGAAACTGAAGTACAGAATGGTTACATAACTAACTGCTCAATTCACATGATCAAAAGCAGTAGGCATAAAGTTCTAATTCAAGTATGGTTTACAATTACCTGTGTTTCCAGAAAGATAACTAGTTATTGTAAATACAATTTAAGGTGCCATGCTGTATGGAAAGAAAGAAAAAAGATGTCAAAGACTCTTAGAAGATGAAGGAGAGAATAGAGAGTGAATTGACCTAGAAAGAAGGGAATATATCTTTCACTAAGACGGGAGAGACCATCAAATAGGAAATCAGCAGAGTAGTTAAACACAGGTTTTGGAGACCTGCAAACCTGGGTTGAATACCTGCTATACCCATGTACTTCGTGATGTCTTTTAGTATTGATTTATTTTTACTTCTCTGGACCTCAGTTCGCCCATGTATGAGATTTTAATATCTCAGTTCTTCCATCTATATGAGATAAATGATAGAAAACTTATTCACAGAATTGGGGTAATAGTTAACATTGACATATAATGTTTATTGCTAACACTAAAATTTACTCACTTTTCTTGATTTCCATCCTGATAATGATGAGAAGATGATGTTCTTTCTCACTTCCAAATAAATTTTTTTTTATTATATCTATTACCACCTTCTGTAGATCTTTAGCCCTCTGCTTTCTGTCATTAATTTCTCTTGCTTCCCATTTTAAAGTAGTAGTTGTAAAAAATAGATATAATCTCCCTTAGTCATGTTTTTCATGTGAGCCCTTTTCTACAGCTTACCTTTGCCCATAAATATTTGCAAAAGAAATTCTAAATGACTCCTAATCAAAGATAACAGATGTTTGACTTTTTATCCTCTAAAAAAACACTGCATTAAGATACCAGCACTTTTATCTTAATTTCCAACCATGTTAACTTTTAATTCCTAATTTTGGAGCTACTGTCTGCCATCATGA